GAGGGGGACCCTGAGGGTGGGAGGCACCTAAAGACCCTATAGTGCCAGGAAAATGAGTTTGTTTTCCTGGCACTATAGTGGTCCTTTAATAATTGATTTTGTGTAATTTTATTTTCCTCCATTGTGAAGTAGCATTTGAGAATTCTGTTCATCGTTCGATGGTAGCAAAACTAGGTCATTAAAGACTGCTCATAGCTACATAATAGAAAATGATCTATGCCATGTGAATTCTTCTAAAAATTGCAAAAGATTGCCTTTCTGATCAGCATTTACAGTTTTCATTATGTGTGTAAAAGCAGAGATGTCACAATAATGCTTAGTTTACTTTGATAGTTTCTTCATAAAATATACTTTGAGAATGTGTCCAATCTTCAAAGAAGTTGCAACTACCATGTGCCAATACTGCTTGAATTGTGCATTTTTATTTTATATATATGGATTTAGCGTACCTATTTTATTTTTTTACAGAATGGTGACTTAGTTGATAAATGCTCCAGCTGTAGTACCTATTTGGACCTCCGTCTTTCATTTTTGACTTCTAAATAGGTCAACTCAGAATCTCTGTGTTTAGGTAACCCGTAGAAAAAAAGAAAAAGGATCATAATCATTTTACTTTCTTCTTCAACGTGCCAGGTTTTAGAAATATATTAAATCTTTTAGAGAATTTGAGTTATTTATTACATATTTTAGAAAATGTTGATCATTTGAGTACAGGTTACTTTGAGCAAATACATTTTTTTTTAATCTACAGCAGGTAACTCTAGCTGATACCTAGAATTAACTCTCTAAACTCTAATATCCCCATAAAGGAATTCTTGAAATTTAGAATATATTGTTCCAAAATCTGTTTGCTTGAGGGGCATGTTAGATAACTCAAAATTTATTTAATACAGAATATGTACTGGATGCTATAGAGATAGGTTACCAAAAAACAAGAATACTTCACAAATAAAAGATTCTGAAACATCAAAGCTACAATTTTAAGCAATAAATGAATTAATAAAAAAAGTACACAATACTCAAAAATCATTCAGATGCCGCGCATTCGCATTCGGAGCTGAGAGGTGGATCAGGGTGGAGAGATCCCCAGGGCCAAGGGAGTCCGGCGCTGGAGAAAGGTAAGTGCTGAACCACACACACTCTCACGAACAGACGCATACACACTAGCTAACAGACACACATTTACTGACAGATATACACTCAGTGACAGACATACATACACACTCACTGACAGACAGAGACACACATACACACTCACTTACAAAACATATACTCTCACTGACAAACACACACTCACTAACAGACACCAAACAGACTCACTAGCAGACACACACAAACAAACACACTCAATAACAGACACACACAGTAACACACTCACTGACACACACACACTCACTGGCACACAAGCTAACACACACACACTGACACCCACTAGCAGACACCCACCATCCTGCAGGCGACGAGGGAGCACTGATCCTTCTGTTTAGCTCCCTCGTGTGCCGCTTACTGATGCCGGATGCGGTGTGCACGAGGGAGCTGGGCAGAGAGAGCTCAGGGGAGAATGCTCCCTTGCGTGCCCAAGTGACATCATTGCCAGCCTTGGGGGGCCCTGAGGTGGCCAGCTCCTGGGCCCCCCAGGAGAAGTGGCTGGCCAAATGTGGCCGCACTGGCATACATACCCGGGTCGCAGGGCGGCCGGGCCCCCTGGAGGGCCGGGCCTGGTCGCAGCTGCGACCCCTATGACTGCGGTATGTACGCCAGTGCCAACAGTTACAGCTTCAGCAACCCCAGCAGGGCTGGCTTGAACCCTTTTTCTGCACCTCCATCTCCCAGGCAGGTATCAACCCCTCTGCCCATCCTCCTGCTCCCAGGCAGGTATCGATCCCTGTCTTGCTTCCAGTTCCTGCCTTTATAAAGGCACTTGTGGCTCTCAGGCCTAGCTTTTTCTTAAAACATCCCCAGGACCAGATAATAGTGCAGCCAGCAAGCAGATACAAAAACTCTGTTTGGATTACCTGAAGAAACCAAACAGAACATGCAGTTCTCAATGTAACTATTACACAATGGTTTATTTTTTGAACAGAGACTAGCCTTTGGTTACCTGTCCTTAAACATGTGTTGAAAACCATTTAAAATACAAAATATACAGAACATTGGAGAACAAGCAATTATAATTAATACTTAAAATATATGATACAAGTAACTTTTTCAAACACAATATAATGCAACACTTCATACATTAAACTACTTATATAGTTGTACTAATTTGCCAAATATACCAAATGAGTCATACCAGCATTATGTAAATGGACAAATATCTATTCAGTCACCAGAGGGCACCGCAGAGTTATCACAATATCAATGCATCATTTGTACATTGATTGCTACTGTCACAACACCCTGCACCTAAAATGGGCACAGGGTGAATTTTTAAACACAAGAGTCATCTGGGTACCTACATTAACTGAAAGTCGTATGCTCTCAGTGATGGTTATAACTGTCACAATCATATCAATAACAAACACATCAAAAGCAATTGTGTCAGATGGTCAATACACTGCTCATTTGGTATATGAACCATTATATTGTCAGTGTTTTTATATTTATAAGACATGGATTTTGAATGAAAAAATGTTTAATTGACTTTGTGAAAGACTTAACCATGCTCAAAATGTCCAGGACATGATTACTGCAGATTCCTTATCACATTACTATACATCTGGTAATCTGATAGTATTTTACACTTCTAGTGTAACCAGGGGCGGACTGAGAGCCTTTGGGGCCCCCGGGCAAAATTAGATCCCAGGCCCTTTGAAGGCCAAATATATTTGCATTTTAATAAATGTTAAATATAATTCATAATACGGCATTCCTTTGGATGTGTGTATTGTGAAGACCTGTGTATCAATGCATGTTTGTATTTGAGTCTGTGTGAATGCACTTGTGCATGTCTGGATGACTACATGTGCTTTTTTGTATATAGTGTCTGTGTGAATGCATATGTGACAGGTGACAGAGTGTGTGAGGGAGAAGGTGACAGGTGGCAGAGTGAGGGGGTACCTGGTGGCAGAGTGAGGGAGGGAGGGGTTGAGTGGTGGCAGAGTGAGGGGGAGACACAGTGAGTGGGGGTGACTGGTGACAGAGTGAGGGAGTGGGTGACTAGTGACAGAGGGAAGGAGAGGGGGAGACTAGTGACAGAGGGAGGGAATGGGAGACTAGTGACAGAGTGAGGGAATGGGAGACTAGTGACAGAGTGAGGGAATGGGTGACTAGTGGCAGAGTGAGGGAGGGAAGGGGTGACTAGTGACAGAGTGAGGGGATGACTGGTGACAGAGTGAGGGGGGGGTGACTGTCACTAGTCACCCCATCCCTCTCTCTGTCACTAGTTACTCCCTCCCTAACTCTGTCACTGTGTCACCCGCTCCCTCACTCTGTCACTAGTCACCCCCTTACTCTGTCACTGTGTTACCCCTCCCTCTGTCACTAGTCACCCCCTCCCTCACTCTGTCACTAATCACCCCCTCTCTCCCTAGTCACCCCCTTCCTCACTCTGTCACTAGACACCCCATCCCTCTCTGTCACTAGTCACTCCCTCCCTCACTCTGTCACTGTGTCACCCCGTCCCTCACTATGTCACTAGTCACCCCCTCCCTCACTATGTCACCCCCTTCCTCACTCTGTCACTAGTCACCCCCTCTCTCACTCTGTCACTAAGGACAGAGAGGGTGATTAGTGATAGAGTGAGGGAGGGGGTGACTAGTGACAGAGTGAGGGAGCAGGTGACACAGTGACAGAGTTAGGAGGGAGTGACTAGTGACAGAGGGATGGGGTGACTAGTGACAGTCAGCCCTTCCCTCTCTCTGTCACTAGTCACCCCCTCTCTCACTCTGTCACTAAGGACAGAGGGGGTGATTAGTGACAGAGTGAGGGAGGGGGTGACTAGTGACAGAGTGAGGGAGCAGGTGACACAGTGATAGAGTTAGGAGGGAGTGACTAGTGACAGAGGGATGGGGTGACTAGTGACAGTCACCCCTTCCCTCACTCTGTCACTAGTCACTCACTCTGTCACCTGTCACTCCCTCACTCTGTCACTAGAGTGAGGGGGTGACTAGTGACAGAGTGAGGGAAGGAGTGACTAGTGGCACAGTGAGGGAAGGAAGGGGTGACTAGTGACAGAGTGAGGGAGGTGGTGACTGTCACTAGTCACCACCTCCCTCACTGTCACTACTCCCTCCCTCCTTCTGTCACTAGTCACGCCCTCCCTCACTCTGTCACATGTCATCCCCTCCCTCACTCTGTCACCAGTCATCCCCTTCCCTCACTCTGTCACCCCCTCACTCTGTCACTAGTCACCCCCTCACTCTAGTGACAGAGTGAGGGAGGGGGTGACTAGTGACAGAGGTGGCGACTGTCACTAGTCACCCCCTCCCCTCCCTCACTCTGTCACTAGTCACCCCCTCCCTCTCTCTGTCACTAGTCACCCCCTCTCTCACTCTGTCACTAGTCACCCCCTCCCTCACTATGTCACTAGTCACCCCCTCCCTCACTATGTCACTAGTCACCCCCTTCCTCACTCTGTCACTAGTCACCCCCTCTCTCACTCTGTCACTAAGGACAGAGGGGTGATTAGTGACAGAGTGAGGGAAGGGGTGACACAGTGACAGAGTTAGGAGGGAGTGATTAGTGACAGAGAGAGGGATGGGGTGACTAGTGACAGTCACCCCCTCCCTCACTCTGTCACTAGTCACCCCCTTCCCTCTCTCTGTCACTCCCTCAATCTGTCACTAGTGTGAGGGGGTTACTAGTGACAGAGTGAGGGAAGGGGTGACTAGTGGCAGAGTGAGGGAAGGAAGGGGTGACCAGTGACAGAGTGAGGGAGGTGGTGACTGTTACTAGTCACCACCTCCCTCACTCTGTCACTAGTCACCACCTCCCTCTGTCACTACTCCCTCCCTTCTTCTGTCACTAGTCACCCCCTCCCTCACTCTGTCACCAGTCATCCCCTTCCCTCACTCTGTCACCCCCTCACTCTGTCACTAGTCACCCCCTCACTCTAGTGACAGAGTGAGGGAGGGGGTGACTAGTGACAGAGTGAGAGAGAGGGTGACACAGTGACAGAGTGAGGAAGGGGGTGACACAGTGACAGAGTGAGGAAGGGGGTGACTAGTGACAGAGTGAAGGAGGTGGTGACTGTCACTAGTCACCCCCTCCCTCTCTCTCTCTGTCACTAGTGACACCCTCCCTCACTCTGTCACTAGTCACCCCCTCTCTCTGTCACTAGTCACACCCTCCCTCTCTCTGTCACTAGTCACCCCCTCCCTCTCTCTGTCACTAGAGTGAGGGGGTGACTATTGACAGAGTGAGGGGGTGACTATTGACAGAGTGAGGGGGGTGACTAGTGACACAGTGAGGGGGGTGACAGAGTGAGGGGGGTGACAGAGTGAGGGGGTGACAGAGTGAGGGGGTGACAGATGACAGAGTGAGGAAGGGGTGACTAGTGACAGAGGAAGGGAGGGTGACTAGTGACAGAGTGAGGGAGAGTGGGTGACCAGTGACAGAGGGAGGGGGTGACACGGTGAGGGAGGGGGTGACTAGTGACAGAGTGAGGGAGGTGGTGACTGTCACTAGTCACTAGTCACCACCTCCCTCACTCTGTCCCTAGTCACCCCTCCCTCTGTCACTAGTCACCCCCTTCCTCACTCTGTCACTAGTCACCCCTTCCCTCCCTAACGCTGTCAACTAGTCACCACTTCCCTCCCTCACTCTGTCACTAGTCACACCCTCCCTCACTTTCACTAGAGTGAGGGGGTGACTAGTGACAGAGTGAGGGAAGGGGTGACTAGTGACAGAGTGAGGGAGGTGGTGACTGTCATTAGTCACCACCTCCCTCTGTCACTACTCCATCCCTCCTTCTGTCACTAGTCACCCCCTAACTCACTCTGTCACCAGTCATCCCCTCACTCTGTCACCAGAGGGAGAGGGTGACTAGTGACAGTGAGGGGGGATGACTAGTGACAGTGGGGGGGTGACTAGTGACAGTGAGGGGGTGACAGAGTGGGGGGGTGACTAGTGACAGTGGGGGGTGACTAGTGACAGTGGGGGGGTGACTGGTGACAGTGAGGGGGGTGACTGGTGATAGTGAGGGGGGGGGAAGGGGGTGGTTGGTGCCTACCTGCATCTCTGCTCCCTCTTCTCTCCCCGCCTGCTGCTCCTTCTCCATGCTGGGCTCTGTGTGAGAGGAGTAAACAGGAAGTGATGTCACTTCCTGGCCCGCCTCTCCCATCACACAGAGCCGCATGGGAGAGGAAGCAGGAGACCTGGCAGGGAGGAGGTGAAGCTGCCAGGTCTCATGGGGGGGGGGGGGTGACAGAGCGGTAGGTTGTGGGGCCCCGCGCTGCATCAGGGGCCCCACAACCTATCAATTAAAAAGTTTTATTTTATTATTTTTCCGTTCCAGCTGGAGAGATCTCTGATCTGATCTCTGATCTCTCCAGCTGGAGCATGGCTGTGCTGCCGGGCCCCTGACTGCCTCGGGCCCTCGGTCCATGACCGAAGTGCCCGAGTGGTCAGTCCGCCCCTGAGTGTAACTTAAACGTTGTTTAGATCTTTACTAATGCATTTCTCTACAATATACAAATCCAATTTGTAAGGCTAAAGGGACAGCGGTAACAACATCATAACATATAAGCTTATTATAAGCAATAGATATTATATTATAAATATTATTTACTATATAATATTGATATTTATTATGACAAGAGATTTTTAAGGCAGAATAGTCAAACTACAAAAAAATCAAAAAAATCATCCCAGTTACTCTTCAAGTTTGTCTTTCTTTTTCTTTTTTCAGTAATCCAAAATATCTGGTTTAGTGAATTAACTATATAGAATGAAAACACATGCTCTGAAACCTAAATGTTTATTCTCTGGAGATAAAGCGACAATAGGTAGGGTAATCATTTCCAGCACTGTCATATTCAATTTTTGTCTACTTTGTTCTAAAGATTGAAAATGAGTGTTTGTTTCATAACAATTCACTGTTCATGATCTTGGTCAAACTCAGCACAGTGTATCTATTCCTCTGAGATATGAAAGCATTTAGAGATTCTTACAAGCATTGCCGTCTTCTGATTGTCCCATTGGGAAAACAGAGTTTCATAAATCTATAACATTTTTGATTTTTTTTTTCTCTCCAACCCACAACAAGTTAGAAATATGTAAATAAATAAGCACATTTCTCTTTCTACCTCTTACTTATTAAAAAAAAAAGCTTATACCCGACAACATTTTTTACCCTATACAAAAGGTTTTACCCGACAAAATTGTATACTCTATCCAAAGCTAGCCATGATGATTTCCAAATATTCCCAACTGTGGCACTAAATTATTTAAATTATGGGCTAATATAGAATTAATTTTTCATTGCACTTTTTCAATGGAAGGAGTTTCTGCAGTTTAGTGGCGATTAAAATTAAAGTGATAAAAAAATGTTTTCTCCCATTACAAACCTGCGTGCAAATATTTCATAAAGTGAAATCTGGTCACACGTTGCACTTTCAAATAACAGGAAAACATACAATGTAGAAGTATATTTAAAACAAGTCCATAAAAGTGTTTGGCTTTGAACTGCGATGAATTGTTAAAGGGACACTATAGGCACCAAAACAACTTAGCTTAATGAAGCAGTTTTGATGTATAGATCATACCCCTGCAGTATCACTACTCAATTCACTGCTAATTATGGCCATTAGGAAGGTAAAAAAGGAAGGGATAGGAAAAAGAAGAGATGCAATGGATCTTTTCAGTTAGAGACCATTCCACCAAAGGGGTTAAATATAGTGTTTGAATTATGTATTTTTTTAAAATGATGTTTAGGTGTGATGTATTATGTAATTCTAATTTTATTTATTTATTGAGATATATTTTTGTCATGTCATTATATCTTCTTATCTTAACTACTGTATTTAATGTGTATTCTATAATCATTTTATAATCACATTATAACCACTTTTTAGGCATTCCATTTCTTTTTTCACTGTTTAGTTAATATTTCTACCAGTTGCTTTGCAACCGATTGCAAACTGAAGAGACCAATAGGGCAATGGCGTAGCCTGGGTTGCCAGAGCCCGGGGGTAGGCAAGTACAGTGCCCCTAACCCATGGACTGTTAGCACTCCCCGAGTCCCGTAACAAGTGCCTAGATAGCCTCGCTCCTCCTTCCCTACCTGCCTCATCTCTGTGATGTGTGACACTGACTTTTGTTTTGCATAATGTTTAAAAACTACCTCACGCCTAAAGTAATGTTACGCAAATTATGCAACGCAACTATCAGTGTCACACACATCATGGAGACGAGACAGGTAGGGAAGGAGGGGTGAGGCTATCTAGGAGGCTGTTACCGGCATATGAGTATAATACCATCTAATAGTCATTTACATAATACTTATTAGTAGTGTCATTTCTTATTTGAAGATAGTGGTAATATCTTTAAATGGTAAACCACGCTTTTAATAGGCAATATGTAATTCACAGATAAGGATTGCATGAGGACAGTAGGGCTGTAATAAGTAAGAAAAACATTGCAAATTGTTATGTGGCAACATTTATTTGCCCTGTCATGTTGAAAAACTGTAAAGGATGTTCAAACACTGGGAGGCTATCTGTGTGAGGGGGAGAGCGCGCTGTTTTTTAATTAAAACAACTTTTTTTTTCTTTTAAAATTTTGTGCCTCTTAGAATTTTGCACCCAGGGTAACAGCCTCTCTGGCCCCCCACACAACGCAAATGTGACATGTTACATATAGGCAGTTGTCAGGAAGGAAGGTTACCATGAAAGAAGTTCCACTTAGGAAAAAAATGCATCTGGTAACCTTATCACAGCTTAGTGGGCAGTCACTCCATCTCCTGCCTCTGTACAGAGACTAACCAGGTACACAAGGTATCACCGGTTTTGAGACAATTTGTAGCGGTAAATAGCATAGGGAATAACTACCCATGTAAGCATATTACTAGTAATAAAGTCAATTTTTTTTAACGTTCCTGCCAATGGTGTGCTCTTTTTAAATCCAATTTAGCAGTCCCAATCAAGCAAACTGTTGGGAATAATACACTTTGCCTATATTTACCCAGGGCTTAAGATACAGATGACCGGCTGGCCAGTCTGTTTGAAATTAGTTAACATGTCAGCTATTTGCAATAATATACTTTATCTATATCCAATGCTTAGTGAATATACCCCTAGACAATAAAGAGCTGTATAATATCATGTAACAAGTAATAGGTTTTAAGAGCCGTAGAACATTATGTATCAAGTGATAGGTGTTATATCCTGTATTATTCTGTCTGTCGGCCTTATTTGCTGTTTTTCTCCCTTTGATCATAACTGCATGGTAATGTGTAATTTAGAACTTAGCAGTAAATATCTTTAATTCGTAGTGCGCATGCATATTAGTTTGACGTGTGTACTTATAGTGAAACTTAGCTTTGAGCAAGGCCCGGAAATGAAGATACACCTGCAAGCTTGCTATAGGTTAAGTTGTTAAGATAAGATAGATGATTAGGATTGGATAATGCTTGTAAGACCACCCCTGTTTCCTCTAGAACATAAACTGTTACACAGCTCATTAAACACTGAGAAGTCACTTTGAACCTTGTCTTGTATCGTTCATTGGGGGCTCCTCGCCAGCTAGTTTGGGGACGAGGAGAAATACAGAGAGTTGCAAATTGATACAAAAGAACATGGCAAGGGGAAATGCCTGACAGAAAATTCCTCACTATCACTAACTTTCCGAGGAATCTGTAAGGTGAAATTGTTTATTGAACCGACTCCAGCTTCCAATACTGCAGAATCACAGAGGAAAACATGGGCAGAATCTGTGAAAAAGCAAGTTTTTACTTTTCCCCACTGTGTGGATTCATGAACCTTTAAACTACATGCTGTTTAAAGAACGTTTAGCAGTATTACAGCATATCACCTTCTTTACACAATACTTAAGTTTGCAAAATTTGGTTACATATTTTAGTAACAACATATTTTATTTCAAATCCAAGCACTTTCCTGGCTTGTTTAAATATACTGCTACTTTGTATATTTTTATTGTTATTTTATGTGCTACATGCTACTTTTTTTCACTTTCTCTAAAATATATTTTGGTGCATTTGAGTTTTAACAGCTTTTATTATTTTCTGTTTTTGTATTATAGGGGGTGCTTATACACTTTTTCTATATTGAAAATATTTAATAAAACTGCTACAAGGGATCTTGGAATCCCAATGACAAATAAGCATTGGATAAGGTAAAAAACATTATCCCATAATAGCAATATTTTATGGTAACTCCACCAATTATGGAACCTAAACCATCTT